TTGAAATGTGTGTCTTTGTATTTTATGGGTTTATATGCAATAGTACTGAAGTGCAGACAGGTTCAAACATCTATGTACTACATGGCTATTATACCCGATAAAAAATTTAAATAGATGTATTTTAAGTGTCATCTTCCTATTTCTTGATTTATTTGTGAATACAGTATACTGATATCAGTGGTGGTGATTAAATTCCATAATTACACTTGACTTCTACCTTTTCCCGGTTTGGTGCCTTCTATTGATAATTACTTACTTCTACCTTTTGTAAGAGAAGATTGAGAATGCACAATTAATGTTCCAAATTGGTCTTTGAAGCAGCTACAGTCTAAAAGTAATAAATGGAACTCTTCTAGTATTTCAAACTGTAATTCACTGGTAACACAAATTTCAGTCATTTGAACTGAGCAATGTAGGAAAACACTCAAAATCAGATTGACTTTGAACAATTTTGGTGTGAAGGTGACTTGCGAAAAGTCTTGAGCTTCACAATATACCAAACATAACTAGATTTTATGCAGTAGGAACCTACAAAACAACAACAACAAAAATGGACCTATCAATAACCTGCCCTTCATTTTGCCAAATATGCACACAAACCTAATCAACATTTCCTAATGTTATGGTAAAGCAAGGGTTTATTTTCCATCCAAAGTGGCAATACCATTCAAGAACAATAGTGATGAGATTTTCCCAGATCAAATAAAAACAATTCTGATAACATGTGACTAGTGCATCACAAAGTTTGAAATGTGCATTTCCATTCCAATTTCAAAGTCTGCTTTCATGTCAACAGCCTTAATTAGGCATAAGACAATATTTTTTTATGTCCCATTTATGGGACATCACACCTGTTAGGTTTAGGTTCCCCCCTAGCTAAAGATACTACAATCTACGTGGCCATCCATCCAGTTACTGGCCAGACGCAAAGATGTTTAAAAAAGTAGCCAAATGATCAGCATATCATGCACTGCATCACGCCAATCATATTCCATCACAGAAATTCATAAAATAAGCTCCATACAATATATTGAAAAGCTGAACTGAGCATGTTATTCATATTTTGCTCATCACAGTTCACCATTTCCCAATTAAAACAGTATTGAAGGATTAATGGTCTGTAATAAGTAATGACAAGATAAACTGTAAGTGATCAAAAGTGAAAGAAGAAGTTTACACAAATGCTGAAGAATTTGTTGAACTCATAATACAATGACATTCAGTTTGAGCACTTTATAAAGATTTTAACTAAACAAAAACTATTAAACTAAGTTATTAAAATATTTATTATCCCTACAGCAATCAGCAATTGATTATTCACAACATTAGCCCTAACCAGTAAGCACAAATATCAGCGTTGAATATAATGAAACGCCATTTTTTGGGTGAGCTCCGGAGGCTCCCCCGGGGATATTCCGGTGGATATGCTAATGTCAGTCTTTGGCATCAGTCATGTGTATGGAGTTCTGTGGGCCTACTGGGGACCATGAGCTAGAACCTGTCCTCCTCAGAAGAGGCACGAGGAGCAATGGCCTATAGAAACCCCCGTGTGGTTGGAAGCATTCTATGTCTGCCATCAACCGGGTCTGGCACCCAGAAAGGTAAGCGTCCCAAAACAAACCCCTATTCTGGTGAACATGTGTATAGAACTCTCCTAACAGAAACGAGCATGACGTCACACATCGCCCCGCCGCTGTCTGCGCAGCTTCCCCCTCCCAGGTAGGGGAAAGGGGGAGCCCCAAACCACTGCACTGGCAATCCACCTCCGAGATCCGAGGCTGGACATCAAAACAAGCGAAAAACCCGCCGACAGGGGGAGGAAGGTTTGCCGGGAAGCCTCCGGGTCTCACCCAGAAAATGGCTTTTCATTATATTCATCTCTGGTTTTCTGGGGGGAGCCCCTACGGCTCCCCGGAGATAACTACCCACAGTGGAAAACCAGAGGGACTTACCCGGGAGGCGGTCGCTGCTCACTCCTCAACCCGAAGTCGAGACAACTGGCTGCATCCGCCGACCCAAAGCGACACAGGCCCGACTAGGCCCAGGAACGTTCACGAGGTAGCACGCAGCCATGACCCTGTTCGACTGCCAAAAACCCCGAGCCCTAATGTCAGCCCAGGACATGTTGTCAAAGACGGCAGCAACAGCAGCGAACTTATGAACGTCATGAGCACGGGGATAGAGCACAGGCTGGCTAGACTTATTAACCCTGCAAACGACCTGGTAAACCCGAACTCGCGAACAGGGAAGAAGGGAAACCGGATCAACCCAAAGCGCGTCCCCGAACACAGAAGCCGTGGCGCGCAAATAACGGCGGAGGGCCGCAACCGGACACAAAACATGATGCACCCCTGGCCTGGCCAACCAGGCATCTCAACCCAAGGACCCCTCCGGAAAGCAGCCGTCTCATTCTTCACCAGAAAAGAAGGAGACGGCTGCAGACGAACAAACCGATTACCACTCCCGAAAGAGCAGAAACCCCTGCGTCGGAGGAGAGCAT